GAGGAGCCATGATTGCGGCCGTATTCTCCATGCAAGGCATGGGTCAGCTCGGTGCGGCCGTCGTGGCTTTAGTCACTGCCGAAGCCTTCAAGGACTCCTACCTCGACGTCCACACTCTCGGCGACTGCCACGCACGATGCCAGCTTGCTGCCGACCGCTCATGGCGCATCATCGTCGGCATGGGCGCCGTGCCCGCCTGCATAGCATTGTACTACCGAATCACGATCCCAGAGACGCCTCGATACACCTTTGACGTGGAGCAAGACGTCGAGAAGGCCGATGCGGATATCCGCGCGTACATGGCGAGCAAGTCAAAAGGTGATTACGATACGGATTTGCAGTTCAAGATGAAGAAGGAGACCGGTCCCGGTTACAACACTCCGGCGGCATCCTGGCCTGATGCCTGGGCATACTTCACGCAGTGGAAGCACTTTAAAATGCTTTTGGGCACTGCCTTTTCCTGGTTCTTCCTTGTGAGTCACACAACACTCGAAGAAATCACTTGGTCTAGTCATACTGATGTGCGGAACAGGATCTGGCTTTTTATGGTCTCGGGCTGAATAGCACCGTTGTGTTGCAAACCATTGGCTATGCCGACGGAGCCAACTTTTACAAGAGACTACACAACCAAGCCGTAGGGTTGATCATCTTGGCGTGCGCTGGTGCGATCCCTGGCTATTGGGTTTCTGTCTTCACCATCGACACCCTCGGCCGTAAACCCATCCAGATTATGGGCTTCTTTATGCTCACCGTCATTTTCTGCGTGCTCGGCTTCCTGCTCCATCAGTTGACCGATGCTGTCTTTCTCACTTTATACATCACTGGCCAGTTCTTCTTCAATTTTGGCCCCAACACTACCACATTTATCGTTCCTGGCGAATGTTTCCCGACCCGATACCGTTCTACTGGACACGGAATTTCTGCAGCGATGGGCAAAGTTGGTGCCATCTTGGCGCAGGTTATCAGCATCCCTTTGCTCGCAAAAGACGTCCCTGGCGACTGCCACGGCGACCATTGCGCGCCCTGGCTCGACCGTCTCCTGGAGCTGTTTGCACTATTCATGTTTCTAGGCATGCTGTCATCCTTACTCATCCCGGAGACCAAGGGCATGACCCTCGAAGAACTTGCCGGCGAGACACCAACATCCTACAACCGCGGTCGCAACGGCAGCATATCGCACTACCCACGCCCGCAATCGAAATGGAATCCTTTCGGCGGTGGCCACCCCGCAGGATTCCACTACCCACGTACAAGCACCGTCAAAGCAGCACGTGTCGGTATCATGACGTCGCCCGACCTCCTCGCAGAGGAAGAGCGCAGGAGAAGGAGTCAGACCCGGTTCTGGCGCAAGAGGCGGAGAGAAAGGGGCGGCGGCGGCAGCGGCAGCAGCATTGGTGGTGGAACAGACGAGTACGCGATGAGCATACGAAACAGCGGTGTATCTTCCGCATACACTGGGAGAAACATGGGCGCCGCTGACGAGCAGATGCCTGCCGATCCTGCGGCTCCCGGCGTTTTTCCGACATGGGGCGCCGGGTGGGGCCGGGTGGATCGCGGGGCGCAGCCGATGGAGAACGTCAAGTTACACGACGTGGGAAGCCTTCTGAGGCGGGATTCCCGCGCGTGATGGGAATACAAAAGGCAATTAGCGGGCGTACGGTTTTTTGGTTAACCCTCCTGGATGGAGAACGGGGGATTTTCATGATGACGACCTTTCGCTGGATATGGATCTGTCTGGCTACTGTAGATAGTGTATGATTATAGCATCAAGACCGCCCACGCGGTGATTCAAGATTCGCTCTACAAGCATTATGAGGTGACTTTTGATCTTTATATCCTTCACTCATGTTCACGTTCATGCCATGATACGCTAGGGATTGCTTGTATTAGCTCCCTCTGAGGGACGTAAAAGTCGACTGAAAAACACAACGCGAAACAGTCCAGCTGTTCGCCATCGCAATGAGCAACTTTATATACTTCGTCATAGATCAAACCGGCCATGTACGGAAGCCGCTTCCCCCAATCTCCGAATCACTTACCCTGACTTAATGGCCATACTTGGTCCTATCCTACATAGCCCCCCAAATAGTAGCCGTCATCTCCAAACTCGCCCTCGCACCAACAAAAAACCTCAAACTTCCGCTTCAACCCTATGTCATTCGCAGAAAGCGTCACAGCCGGTGTGCGAAGGGAATCCTCAGTCGCCTAATGCTGCAGCCTCCGTCGGATGATAGGGTAGCGCTCGACGGCGGAGCCGAGGGCCTCCCAGATGTCTCTCTGTGATGAGGTTTGAAGGAAGATATTTTATTCCTTTACTCGAAGCCTCGGAGAATTGATACGCGATCAAGAAGGGAGTCATGGACCGACCGTATCAGTGAATCGTGTCCTTATGTGAAATCAAATTTCATCTTATGTATTGTGGAATATGCAAACTCACGAGACGTGGTCCGCTGATTTGAGCTCATTGATCACAACGGGTTGTAGTGATCATGTACTTTATTTTGAGATCAAGGTATCCCACTTCAGTGAATTCATGTAAATTAATATGGCTTTTTATGGGGGGGTCACAGTCTAATAGTTAGTCCACGAGATAGACTTGGGTGACTTGCAATTTTATTAAGGCATACTGAGCTATAAAAAAATGAAGAGCCGACGCCTAAGTCGGATATTTAATGGTAATCATGCTCAGATTCCTTGACGTTGTGTTGACCGACTTGTTTCATGGAAGACAATCCAGCCGTTGGGAAATTGAAGACCGGTCTTCAGCATGAACTAGCCACTAGCTTCTCCCTTCTTGTCTAGAACATCCCTAAAGTTCTTTCAGATAGATCGAGGCATATCAAAAGTGTTCGAGTCATCGTTGATACATCGCAACAATGAGCTTCTTCCAAGTTGTCTTGTGAGTGAACTTCCCCTTTTGTGCGGACTGAGTTGCCAGTGCATGGTCACCAGGACAATTGAATTGTTTTGTGAGTGTCTGAATTCTCCAGTGGGTCCATAAAGTAGGAGCGTTTTGCTGCGTTCGAAGTGAAGGTGTATTTCCAGAGCATCTCAGACGCTTCCGACCTTGTCAACAGTCCCAGCAACCACACAACAACTTACCCTACTTTTTCCCAATTTTTCATCCCTCACTGCACAAGGACAAGCTTCCATCTGCAAATACTTTTCAGCTTTTTTCCCTCCTTTGCCTGAAGTCTTCCACACACACACACACTTTGCGGAATCTTTCACCCTCACGCTTCCACCACCACAACAAAGCATCTCGACAAACACACATTCACCAAATCACAGTCGTCTTTCCGGTACAACCCCTCCAACTAGCATCAAATCTGCATTAATGCATTCAGAATAATACAAAGCTAACCATGCAGTACTACAGTGAACTGGAATTGCAGGGCGCCATGATTGCCATCGCAGGCCTGGGCCAGCTCTCAGCCTCACAGCAGCGCATGTGCGACGACCTCCTGCAGGCCCTCATCCCGCGCAACTACCCCGTCGACCCCGAAACTCTCGACAACGTCCGCCGTGAATTCTGGAACCGCGCCTTCGCCAAGGGCTGGACGACCAACAAGGAAAACAAGGCCCCGGGCCAGCTCCCCAAGCGCACCAACGACGAGGCCTCCCTCACCATCGGCACCCTCAACCAAGATGTGCCCAAGAACGGCAGCGTCCCGGGATACCGCCGCGCCGGCCAATCTGTCCTGCTGAAGGTCAGCATGAAGGTCGGCGATCGCTGGGAGGACGTCGATGCCAGTTTCTTCTGGGTCGATCAGCAGGGTCACCGCGGCTCTGAGCTCTCCAACGCTTCGATCGATATCGAGGGCGACCTCACTCTCGAGGAGGCCTCGGTCGAGGTCGGAATGCACTACGACACCAACGAGAAGGAGCGCGTCGGCGGCTGGAACTGGGACAAGGTCGTCTACTGGGGCCGCCTGCGTCTCCTCAACTTGGCTCTGCAGCTTAGAGTCGCCAACACCGAGGATACGAGTGAACTGAAGCAGGTTCGGCTGGTCGAGGAGCATTGGTTGGAGAAGGAGGAGCTTCGAAAAAACTTCTTGGTCCACGAGCAGCTTTTGAGGGGTGATTAAAGGGAGATGAAAGGACTGATTGATACCCGGATTATGGATGGAGGCTGGCTTTGGGCCACATGGAAAGGGATGATCGTAAAAGCATAGCATGAACTCTTGATTTCGCCAGAACGCCTCAATACACGTACCCGGAGGTATTTTCATTTGTGTTTCTACTGCAAGTACTTATCTAATGATGTAGTTCGTAAGATGGCTCCATCTGACGGAGGTCTTTTTCGATATCGGCATAACATGATGAATTCCTATGGAAGATGCGTTCGACGTTTTGCTCCTGGACAAAATCCCAAATATTTCATCTTTTGTTCCACTGAGCCTGCTGTTCCTTCATTTCCATTTCAAACATCAGCAAACCTGCCTTCTTGACTTCCAACTTTGGACCACATCAAAGCAACACGCTTGTTAGGCGCTGGGACTGGTCGCGCAAGGGGCAAAGGCTCGATAAGGCGCTTTCACGACGTACCATGTACTCTATATATAGTATGGACCATCTCTTCCCTTCTTCTTTGAGTTTTACTTCTTCAAGTGGAACTCCCTAAAATGGCGTATATCATGCGACCATGGTCTTTATCTGATAGATTGGGTAATGGAACTCGTTGTTCACCCAGTGATTCTTTGATTCACCCAGGTTTTCACACCATAAAAGCTCTCATTTCATTCTTCTCTTCCCATGTCTGATCATACAAACGCACGAAGAAGAATTCTTTCAAATTTTCTGCCCTCCAACTTGAATAACTTTCAAACTTTTGCCAGTCAAACTCCATTGCTTTCTAACTCAACGTCAATATCACACGTCGGACGCAAGTAAGAATCTTCTACCAACGGATCTGAAGTCTTGGACTTTGGCGCCCGATTTGTTTTTGCTGAGAGGAACATCACCTGCTACTTCTCATCACAACACCTCTTGATTTCATCATGGCTTCCCCGGAACCACCTCGGTTCGCTGTCTCTGGGGCCCACCAACTCGACGATGTCGGAAAGAGGATTTTCGACAGCCTCATTGCTTGTGTGCTAATCTTTAACGACCCCCGACCACCGAATCTCGAGCTAACCATTGAGGTTTCAGACCGATGCCAGAGATTGATGATAGTATCCGCGACAACTTCTGGAAGAGAGTCTTTGCTGGTGGCTGGGCCACCGACAAGCCCAATGTTTTGGAGCCTAGGTCGAATATGCAGGGAGAATTTCCTCGCCGCATGATCAAGCACGCCATCGTTGGCGAGTTATCAGATACCATAGAGTATGACGAAACAAAGTCCACGTATCAGAGCACTGCTATTCTCGTGGCAGCCAAACCGGATATCCAGAACGACTTGGTAGACTTTGCATACTCTTACCAAAGCGGCTCAGTCTTCTCGGACTGTGAGAAGAGGCCCATTTTCAAGGAAGACAGCATGAACCAGCCCTCCCGAGTTCTAAAAGATAAAGCCGAAGCCATACGCGCTTGGGACGAAGCTCAGATGGAATGGCTTGGTGAATAGAATTACGAGAGAGCAACATACGCAGCCCGACGCCATCTAGTTGATCTGGCTCGCTACTATGGTGGGGATGATAACGGTGTCCTCTGTTATGGAGAGCGTCATCCGCTAGTGTTAGGCCTCGCCAGTTAGACCCCGTTGGTTAAGGGATAGCTTAAGGGGCATGAGGAAGGGGACTAAGTAATAAAGGAGTAACTTAGGTATATATAGAGCGTTAATAATATACCTCAAAAAAAAGGTAAATTTTAATAATTTATTTTTTAAACCCTAATAGTAATTAGCCTCTATAAGCTTTTTCTTTATATTATATACTTATTAATAGTTTAAAATCTTTATTTATAAAGGGGACTAGGTTAAGAACTTAAAATATTAATAAGAACGAAACATAATAAAAGAGCGTAGTTAGTATTATAATAATAAAAAAAAAACGACTTATTTTTATTAAACTTCCTAAAGTTACCTCTTTTTTAATAAATAATATAAAAATAGAGCGTAATAAGATAAACTATATAATAATAATATAAAAGGACCGTATTACTAAAAATATTAATAAATTTTAAATAAAATAATAAACTTCTTACCTTTATTCGCTAATACCTAAACTAAATAATAAACGATAAACTAATAAAACTATAAAAATAAGAATAACGATTAAAAAAAAAAATCCTTATAATAACGTATAAAAAGTAACTACGTAGAAAATAAATAAATTTAAAATATTTATAAAGCTCCTTAAATAGCCTAGCCCCTATACTAAGAGCTATAGTTTTAGTTATAATAACTTTAAATATTAATTTTAATATAAATAAGAATATAAACCCTTAGATTAAAAATAGCTTAATAAATAAAGTTATATTTAAAGCGCCGCTCGAGTAATAATAAAATAATAGGTTCGTACTACTTAAGCCCCCGTTTATTAGCTCTTTTTTAATTTAAATAAGCGCTATAAGTAGAACGTCTATATTTAAATTATTATCCCTCCCTAACCTATCGTATATTAATAAATTAGTACGGGATTTATAGAGCTTCTTATTTAATTATTACTATTACTTCGACTTATAAGCTTAATAAATAAGAATAAACCGTAATAAAATAGTATATATAATTAGCTACTTAAGTAATAGTATAAAAACCTTTTAAATATACTATATTTTTAACTATAAAAAGGTCCTTAGGTTTATAATAAACTAAGTTATATAAAAAGAACTAAAGACTTTTTTATAAAATAACCTATTTAATCCTATTAGCTAAAAAATAGTAACGAATATATACTTAAATAGTGCCTCGTAAAGCTAAAAAAAGAGGGTTAATAAGTTCGTTAATTATATTAATAAGCTCGAAATAAAATTAAAATATATTTTAATAAAGAAGTAGAGAATCTCTATATTAATAAATAAGCTATAGCCCGAACTATATTTTATAATAGTATCGTAAATAAAACTTTTATAAACTTATTTATAACTAATATTATTAATAAAACGTATTAAGTAATCCTCGTTATTAATAAGAAGTTTATAAACGTCCCCTAGATAATATTCTAACTTAAACTTAAATAAGCTAGTAAGGAGATATAAGGGTACTAATAAGCTAACTATATAAAAAATATACTATAACTTACTTAATAAGGATACTACGTATTATAATTATAAAAAAACTAGTTATATTATAAGGGATTACTTATGACTATGAGAGTAGTATTAGTAATATTATAATTATAATAAAACTAAGTACCTCGTTAATAACTATCCTAGCGTTATATATTATAAATATAATTAAAAAGGGTATAAAGTTATTAATTATTAATTAAACCTCGCTCTAGCTAAGTAGCGCGGACTAATAATAAACTTAAATACTATTTTAATAAAAAAAATAATTAATAATTAATAAGGGTAATACTTAGATATCCTAACTTATATATACTTAAACTATATATAAAAAAAGCTAAGTGCCCTTATTAATTCGGGAATAAAAAAGAACGTAGTTAGTATCGGGCTATTTAATAGCTTTAACGCTAATTTATAAATCTACTTATTACTATAACTAGTAAACGTCGAGAGTAAATAAATAAAGATACTAAAGAGCTACTACTTACGGCTTTAAATTACTAATAATAATAATATAATAAAAACATAGCTATATCGCTTTATAATAGCTAATATTATAATACTAACGCTTATCCTTAGTTTTCCCTAATTAAAAGACGTCGACCCGCTAATTAATTAAAAATAAAAGAAGTAATAATATTTAATTTATAAATAATATATCTACTTAAATACTCTAAAAAAGGGGCTACTAAATAACTTAGTTTTGGTAATATTTATATATATCGTAATTAACTTAGCTATAAATAGTAACGTAATACTAATAAGTATAGCTAAGGATTAAAAACTATAATACTAAGACTTTAATAACTTATTTTTAAAAAAAAAGGCTATTTTATTATTAAATAGAGTACTATATAATTACTATATTAAACTAAACGACGCTATGCCTATCCCTTAGGGACCTATTTACCTATTATTAAACTATAAGCTAGAGATATTATAAAATTATTTAATAAAAGTAGAGGCTAGGGGCTAAATACGCCCTTTTATAAGCCCGGCTAGAATACTTATTTTTTTTATATTTAAAAAAAAAAGAGAGCTATAACTTTACGTCGATTATAAAGTAATTAATAAGATTATATAAAAAGACAAAACGCTACTATTACTAATTAAAGAGATATTAAATAGACTATTTAATACCTCCGTTTTTATAAAGTTAAACTTTAAGAACGTATATTATTATATATATATAGCTAAGGGTAATAAATAAAAAACGGCTTTTTATACTAAATACGGGTAGTTTAAGTACTTAATTATACCTTTCGGGCTAATTAACGTACTTATAACTTTCTAAGTATATATTAATAACGTTCTAAGCGGCCTAATTAATACCGTTTATATTATATACCTAAATAATATCTTAATATATAATAATAACTACGTAGTATATAAAAAATACGTACGTAGTATATTATAAAAACTATAGTAATAAAACCTATATTTAAACGGTAGTAAATATAAGTTCTATATATTATATATAAAATTTTTAAAGTATATTATATTTAACGAAAGTATAAAAATAAAACCCGCGCGTATTAAAGCTATAATAAATTAGCTATTTTTAAAGAGCATTAAAAATATATAAACGTTCTTTAGATTTATAAAGTTCTATTATAAATTTATTAATAACTATACTAAAATAACTATATTTCTAATAAACTTATTAAAAAAAGTAAAGCTAGGATAGTTAGAGCTACTAATACCTATCGTAAAATCGTTTAAAAAGCTATTAATAATATTTATTAATATACTAATATTACGGTATTTTAATTTTATTTTACTTACGTAGTTATAAATAAACGCTTTAGCTCGAGCTATTAGCTTAGTAATTACGTAATTATTTAAGGGTAATTAGTACTTAATTACTTATAAATTAAGAAAATTAACGAATATAAAGAGCTATTATAGTATAAGAAATACGGAGCTATTAATTATTATAAACGTACTAAGAAATTAGTAATACTATTTTATTTATAGCTAAGATTAGGTTATAATATTTATAGATTATTTTAACTTATAGTTTTTAAATATTAAAAAGAGGCTAAATAGGAAATAGCTACGTTAACTAAACGAACTCGTAGTATTTAATATTAAAATTAGATTTAAGCTAGGTATTAAGAACTTAGTAAATAGATTATTATAAAAACCCGATTATAATAAAAATAATAATAATAATAGAGTAAAAGAGCTATTATTAAAAATAAGAAAAGACTTATATAATATTAAAAATATATAAAAGCTTTTTAAAATCGTAATAATAAAATATACGAGAATAAGCTATAAGAGCGGCTCTTAAATAAAAAAGATAATAAGTATTCTAAAAATAGAATTAATAATAATATAAAAAAATAAGTAAAAGAGGTTAAGAGCTCTAGCTTAAGGGAGCTTTAAAAAGTATTTTAAAAAATATAATAAGGCTACGAGCCTAGGGTATTAGAGTTATAATATAATATTTAAAAAGCTATTTAAGCCTACTACTAGAACTATAAATTATAAGCTACTCGTTCTATAGGACTTTAATATAATAAAAGTACTTAAAATAGTATTTAATAAAAAGGGGTTATTAATAATAAGTTAATTACGGGCCGCTTAATAAAAAGACGTTTTTATAAAAAATAAATAATAAACTAAAAAAAATTAATAACCTCGCTTAGTTAAGAAAAAATAATAATAGAGCTAAGTATATAACTCGAGAGGGCTATTATATTACGGTAGCCGTACTTACGTATTACTATATAAGGGGTTAAAAAGAGAGGTTATCGAAGTATATTATAATATACCTATAATAAGATATTATAATATAAAATAAATAATAATACTATTAAAACGCTATTATTATTAAAATAGAATAAATAAAAATATAAAAAATTATATTAATACTTATATAATATACTAATAAATAAAGCCTCGTTATTATAAACTATATAACTTATTATGCCCCCTACTTATTCTAATTAGGTTATAATAAAAAATATTACTAGACTTTATTACGGGCTTACTTATATTAACTATACTAATTAAAAAGCGCCCCTATGACGTAGTACTTATTATAATAAACTAATTTATAAAATATAATATCTATATTACTATAAGGACGACTTTTATAACCTAGGGATTTATAAACCTCCTATTTATAAAGATTTTTATAAAATTTAAAATACTTAAAGGGATCGTTTTTAATAGGGGCTCGTTATTTATAAATAAGTTTTAAACTTATCTCTACTACTTTTTAATAATAAAAAGATATCTTAGTACTACTTTTTATTTATAAATAAATAGTTAAATAAAATAATAAAACTAATACTTAGAGTAATACCTTCGCTACTTCTATACTTAAAACTAATTAAATTAAGTATAGTATCTTTACCTAGTTAAATTTATATATAATAATACCTAGTACTTAGTAATTTATAAAACGCTTACTAAGGCCCTACTTAAGTTCTTATTTACTTACCCTATATTAATTTCTATAAAGACTTAAAATGGTATATAGAATATCTTAATTAAAGAATATATAGCCTAACTACGAGCTAATTAAAAAGCTCTATAACCCCTTATATAAAAAATATATAAAATATATAAATAATAAGTTAATAAAGCTAAGATAAATATATTATATAAAGTAAATAACTAAGTATTATTATTAAAAAAGAATATTAAAAAGTAGCGCCCTAGCTAGAAATTAGCTAATAAATATCTAAGCTTATTTAAAGTTAAATTAATAATTAAAACGGTAGAGGTTACTTACTAACTAAACGTATTAACGTAATATAAAATATATAACGTATTCTATATATCCCTATTTAAATTATATTAATACTATAAAGAAGCCCTTTAAAAACCCTTATTTATTAAAAATATAAATAAGGAGCTATTTTATAAAATAAAAAATATTATATAATATAGAGGGCTAAAGAGGAGATAATAATACCTAATTAAATAAAAAAGATATAATAATAATAAAAATATATAAAAGCTAACTAAGTATATTAAAAACGTAGCGTTAATTAGGATATATAAAAAACGAGTTTTAATTAAGTAGCGCGCCCTAGCTCTTAATAAGCTTAATAATATAGCGAACTAATTATTAATAATAAAAAAAGGGGGCTATATAATTATAACTAAGTAGTATAAACGCGCTAACTATAAGTAGCTTTTCTAATCTTTAGGACTTATAAAAAGACTACTTTTACGTATAGAGGGGCCGCCCTTATCCTTATTTTTAAAATTATTAAAAAAAAAAATAGTTACCCTATTATTAATAAATTTATAAATAATTAGCTACGAATACAGAGTATAAACGGGGTAACTATACCCTTTTTAAAATATTATTTAAATAGCATACCTCGTTACGAATAGTACGTAATAATATAATTATTATATTATTATAGGATAAAAATATAGTATAAAAGGAGCTTATAGTTACTTTATTATTATTATTATTAATAACGGGAGTAAAACGGGCCTCTTTATTAGCGTACTTAAGTACCCTCTATATATTATTAATAGTAATTCTATAGGTTTACTAAAGCTATAAAATAATATTAGTAACTTAAATAATAATAATAATAAAGTAATAATAGAGTAACAAACTTTTAAATTATAAATATTATTATTTAAAATAAAAGTAATATTTTAAAAGGTTCGTACTATAAATTTTATAAACTTAAAAACCTAAAATACTATTAGTTAATATATAAAAAAAGTAATAAAATAATAATAGCGCTAAGTACTTACCGTTTTTTTATAAAAATAGTTCTATATAGTACACTCTATATAATACGTACTAGATCTTAAAATAGTATTAAATAAAAGAGCGAACTAAGGGCTATAAATTACTAACTTAGCTAATTATAATACTTAATTTTTAAATTAAATACTTTATATATAACGTAAGCGGGGTAAGAGAATAAGCGTACCTAGCTAACCGTAATCTTCTTAATATTTACTTTTTTCTTTTTTTTAATAAGAGTTTATAATAATTAATATAAATAGTATATAAATAGCGGTATACGTATAAAGTTAAGGTAAATAAAGGGGATATTAAGCTTTTTAAGTAAACGGTTACTACTACTATTACTAAGCATACTTATAATACTAATAACTAGTCCGCTACTAATTATAATAACGTTACTAAAAAAAACTATACTTATACTAAAATAAAATTAATAACGAATATAATATAACTTTAAAAAAGACTAACTTAAACGTAAAAAGTATAAAAGATTAAAGAATTTAAAAAATATTTATTAATTACGAAATTTACGTAATAAAGAAGTAGTATAAACGCTAATAAAAGCGAGAAACTATATATAATTAAAATAATTATAAATAAAAAAAAAAAATCGAAAATCGTAATAGCTTAAAAAGGGGTTAATATTAGTAAATAAAAATAGGGTAATAACTACTTAAGTACTAGTAGTTATAAAAAACGGATTATAAATAAGAGCGACCCGGGTATAGAATTATAAAGCTAACTAAATTTATTATTTAAAATAAAGGGTTTATACTCGGGTTAATAAGTATTATTTTTACTTACTTTCGTATTATATATTAAAGGACTTTATAAATAAAGGATTAATATAGCGTATATAAACTATAAACGGCCTTTAGAATAAAGCCTAGGAAAGGGAGTACCCTATTAAACCTCGCTAATTAAACCCCGTTAGTTAAAAAATAGCTTAAGGAGTATAAAAAGGGGGACTAAGTAATAAAGGAGTAACTTAAGTATATATAAAGTATTAGTAATATACCTCGAGGGAAAGGTAAATTTTAATAATTTATTTTTTAAACCCTAATAGTAGTTAGCCTTTATAAGCTTCTTCCCTGTATTATATACCTATTAATAGCTAGAGAGTCTAGTTGGGATGAAGGAAGAAGAAACGCGACTCTTAATAGCGATCCAATCGAGCCGCGAAATTCTAAAGAGGACGAGGCTTAGACTGCTCGATAAGATTGCTTTATTTCGTGGCGAAAAGGGCGAGGATGAAGCGAAAGGCACCAGGAGGATAGCCTACGGTCTTATACATAAGTCAAAAGAGTCTGACGAGAACTCAGAAGAGCTGACCAGTCAGCTTCAGTGTCTTAAAGAGTTGGCAGACACGACTGAACTCCTGGCCGAAGTCGTGAAATATCCTCCTCCGCCTAACATTTAGTAGCGCAACTTGCAAGTAGCTCACTGGAACAACTTTTCGGAAGAGGCTAAGGTAGGTTAGACTTACATTGAGTGGTTTTTACCCAAGTCGTTATTTTTGATTGTGTCGTACAAAAACGGAACCGTAATTGCCGGCCAGCAATTACGCCTTATTACCACAGATTGGAAAGATCCTGATGGCCGGGCTAGAGCGGGCAGGCTGTTACATCATAAATATTCCATCAACTGCTAGAAGGCGTCAGTATTACATCCAACTCTAGTCCTTATGTAAGTTTCCTACTCCATCTCGAACCTATTCATAGGCGAATGTAAATGAGTCAGGGCTATTTCAAGTCTTCTGTTCAAGATTAATCCGAAAACGTCATTCCGTTTTGTTCACAGAGTCTCCAAAGTCTAAGCTTCTGTCATTCCCAACAGGAACTCATACAACGCCCAAGCGCCAGGGTCGGGCAGCTCTTGTCCCGCCGCGTCTCCCACATACGTCGCCCTGCCAAATCTTGCCTTCAAATACCGGGTGGCCTCTGCCTTCTCAGCAGCGACCTTGACAGCAGCACCAAAGTCTCCTGACTTGACAAAGGCATCCGAGAACGGAAGCAGCACATCCATAACGGTCCGGTCACCTTCCCGTGCCGGAGTATGAGACTTGAGAGACTCCACCGCTGAAGCTAGAGACGAGGCATACAACATCGGTGAGAATGATGTCGTGGATGCGGAATTAGCTTGCGCTCCGGATCGAAGTGACGAGGAGAAGGCGGAAAGAAGGATTCCAAGAATGGCCCCGAGAGTTCCCCCCATATCGTCGACAGCTTCGATCGTCGATTCCAAAAAGGCGAAGACGGAACCGCTATCCGCTGAACCGTTGTCAAGATTGCGCAGCAGTGACTCGCACAGGCCCTTGACCGCTTCACCACAATCGCCGTCGCCCATCACCATGTCCCATTTGGTCAAGTTCGGCTCGGCGGCGATCGCCCGTTCGCAAGCTGATCTGATGACTTTTTCCAACAGCTTTGGATCGACTTTGATGAGATCTGACTTCTGTTCGTGACCGTTTGTAGTACTAGCTTTATCTGTCGTCAGACTATTCGTCTTCTCGTCGCATGTTACTGGTCGAACCGTATTCGGCCAGTAAACTGCACTCGTGGGACGATCGAGAAGCTGGAGCAGCTCGGTAACTGCTGACTTGCACTGCCGTGCTGCAGCCGAAATGTTGCAGATTGAAATGGAAAACCCAGGCGCGTTGAGAGACGTTTCAAAGGTACCAACTTGTGTTCGTACGGGGGTAATTGACCAGGTCGACGCCAGCTGAGTCTGTACTTCATCCGTGAGTGCGCCCAGCTCCAAAATTGAGAGTCCGCCGTAGTTGTTGATGAGAAGAGTGACTTCATCTCCGTTCTCAAACGACACGAAGGCTCTTTCCGTATCATTAGGGTCGCATAAGAGCTTCAGCATCCTGTCCACGAGATCGTTTACTGATGGAAAAGGGGTAATGAGCTGTTGGCCTGGCTCGTTGTGGATGCCAGCACCAACAACGCAGACATCTTCTGCAACAGAGTGATATTGACGTCCTGGAACATGGCAGTGATCTAGAGCTGAGCCTATCGAGACAGTCTGGTCGTTGACGGCCTTGCCGATCTCTACACACTGTTCAAAAGAATACTTCTCAGCCGCTGCCGCACCGAGGATCTTCATAGCTGGTACCGGTTAACAACATTCCATATGGCAAGGTGATTGAACTCACTGAAAATGTGACCTGGCATTCCTCTTCTTCCCACCCTGCTACTCTTGCTCCTGCCAATGGAAACATCGTCCGTAGCAGGGAGAACAACAACTTTGTCGGACAAACCAGAGGCTTTTGCCCTCTCCGCAGCGAGCCCAAAGTGAAGCCTATCACCAGTGTAGTTGGTAATGAGAAGGATAGTCCCAGCATCAGAAGGCGCCAGTCTCATCGCCTCAAGAACTTGCTTTGTACTCGGCGAGGCGAAGATGTCGCCGCATGCAACTGCTGAGAGGAGACCTTCGCCGACGAACCCACTCCATGCTGGCTCGTGACCTGAGCCGCCACCGCCGATGATGCTTACGGTCGACCGATCATTGTGAGAGTTTGCAACGACACGTTCTGCCTCACTGAGAGTGAGATGAGGGTTTGCCGATATAAGAGCACGCAGAGCTCTTGGAACGAGCGTATTCGCAGCTGTGTCGGGGAAATAATGTTTCGTCGCCATATTGGATGTCTTTGAGCCGAGAATATTCAGATGTCACCTAGAAGCCATTGCCATGGACAGGAATCCGGATATATGGCACGGGTAACGTCTTCCGTATTAACCATAGCTGCCAGTTTCCCTCCATTGTAACCTCTTCATCTTCAGGTGCAACCACACACAGATCCTCATCCTCGTACTCAGAACGCCAACTTGACGCGCCTCGAGCCATACGGGTATCCCGATGTCTGATTAATTCCTACAACACTAGCCTCACTCAGCTCTTCTCAGGTTCCGAAGCTTCGTAAACGAGAGGAGCTACAAGCGAGTCAGTCCGGGCCCCCGAGACGCGCACCCGTAGGCAAACAAGACTGGAACTAATACAGGGTACGCTATCTACCTAGGTCACTTATCCCTGCCCCCCCCGGCGCTTTGTTGGGGAAATGGCAATGGTTCGTTTTCCCCCGCGAGTCCCCGCACAAAAATCCCGCTCAAGTTCCCAGCTCGGCAATGCAGCTCATCAAACTCCACGGACAAGTCCCGACATCCAACTTCTTTGCAACCGAGTGCGAAGGGTAGGCGACGCTCCGCTGCTCCTCACAACTCGGAAATAGCTGTGACAGCTCGCACTCCGTACCTAGCTCTTTCCACTAGGTCACGTAGTGGTTCCGGTGCCATGGGTTGCTAGCCCCCGCATACCGTAAAGTCTTTACTCAACCCTGCTCGAACCGCGTCTCGCAGTCCTTTCATGCAAGGAACCGAGATTCGTACACAACCGCAAACACGACGATAGGCCTGCCATGACCTCATGGATGGAAGACGAGCTGCATCCGCGCCTCCCAAGAAGCGCGTCAGAAAGCCTCGGGGCCGTGGCCTACGCACCAAAACGGGCTGGTGAGTTCAAGCCTCCCCGAGCCGCACTACCCTCGACGCGCGGGTTGCTGACCTGTTGCACATAGCTTAACTTGTCGTGAGCGACACAAAAAATGCGACGAACAGCAACCGGTCTGTGGGCCGTGCAGCATCTCGTCTCGTCACTGCGTCTTCCCCCGTCTATCTCAGGACGCGGGCAGAAGAGCAAGCCCAGCTGCTTCACATAACGACCGCCCGACCGCGCGTCTCGGAGACGATGGCAGTCATTCCCACGTCGATGAGCTCCCACAATCGATCGGCTCGACAGGGTCCATCAGCCTCGAGTCGCAGACGTCGATGCAGCACGTCTCCCAGCCTCCCGGGACGTATGACGCAGCCCATGCGCCCTACGTGAGTCAGCCACGCGTATCGGCGGGAGTGACGTTCGGCGACGTGTACAGCTACTCTCCCGAGACCGTCGCATCCGAGCTTTGGACCACCGATCTCGCCTCGACGCGATGGCTCGGCCTGCTCGCCACCGACGCGGCGCAGGCAGACAGCGGCTTCTCTCTCGCCCCGAGCCCCGCCCCGGAGGATGAGGAGGGGCGGCGGGCGGCGGACCTGCATGGCCCGCCCGATGCGACCAATCTCGAGTCCCGGCTTAACGAGGTATCAGATCCAGAGCGGAAGACTTGGCAGGCGGATCGGGATATCACGCTGTCCAACCGGGAGGCTGTACTCTTTCGTCACTTTACGGAACGATCGGCTCGTTGGTTGGACTTCTTGGATCCGCAGAAGCTCTTCTCCACCTATGCAGTTCGGCTGGCTTTGAGAAATGCAGGTCTCATGAATGCAATCTTGGCATTGTCGGCCAAACACCTCTCAAAATTGGAAGGAGGAGGCCACCGGAACTCCAACGTAAGCAATGGAGACACGGAGGAGGATTCCGGCGGAGAATGGGTTCGATACTATTACGAAACCCTCCGCTATGTACAAGAGGCATTAACGTATACCAGCTATACTGCTTCAGAAGAGCTCAATGCCACGGCAATTGTGATCTCAGCGTACGAGATGTTGGACGAATCAGATGGCAGAGGCAACTGGCAACGGCACCTGAAGGGCGTCTTCTGGATTCAGCGATCTCAAGACGTCAACGGGGCCTCCGGCGGACTGCGACAAGCAGTCTGGTGGGCTTGGCTCCGCCAGGATATATGGGCTGCTTTTCGGGAGAAGAGGCGTTGCCTGAGCTTCTGGGCTGCGGACAAAGACTTTTGTGAGCTTGATCCGCACGGTCTAGCCGACAGAGCCATTTACCTGCTCTCGCGAGCCGTCAACTACTGCGCCTACTCTCGACTGATGGAGTCATCGTCTTTGACCGAGGTTTCGGCTTCGGGGAACAGGGCGAGGGCTGGGAGCGAAATGCTAGCTGAGATGGAGCGATGGAAGTCGTTTCTGGGGACCGAGTTTAAACCCCTCCCAACTTCAGCAAGTCCGCCCAATGTCTTCAAGCCGCTTTGGATCCACCCACCCCAATTTGGAGTTGCTCTCCAGGCTTACTCATTCGCAAAGATACTTGTTCTTCTCCACAAACCAGTATCATCCGGGTTTGATGGGTATATGAAGATGCAACGATCGCTCTCAGAGGCTGTAGATACGATCTGCGGTATTGCAATGGAGTTGACAGACGAAGGCTGTCAATTACTCTCAGCACAGTGTCTGTACGGGGCGGGCTTATGTGTACAAGACTCGCTAAAGAGAAACACCATTCTCTCTCTAATTGAGAGAAGCGAAGGAAGAGTCGGGTGGACGCCGATGGCAACGTGGCGAGATGACTTGAGAGAGGCTTGGGCAAATGCCGATAGTCAAAGTCCGGACGTAATGCGTTGAAGCTTCGCTATTGGCTGTCTATATTATACCCCTGAGGGCAGAAGCAGTTTGGATTACTTGAATC